TTTCTATACAAATAGATTTTTCCTAAATAAAAGGTACAACTAAATGATTCATTTAATTGTACCACTCATTTAGTATTACCTAAACTACTACTCTAATACCACTGATACTAATGTTCTTCAAAAAAGAATAATGTTATTCATTAGCAATGCTGATGACGGTAAATACAATAATCTGTGCGTTCATAGATCACTAACACATTATAATTGAATAAAAATAAACCATAAATTTATCTAAATTTCACCACCTAAAAGTAGAGATAGAGCTATTTTTCAATCTTTTTAGCCTGAAAATGTAGTTAAATAAAGGCAACAAAAAGAAAAATTAATGTTCAATATATTATTTTGCCAAAAAAATATTTGTTTTTATCGGTTCTCTACTTCTCTATGACTATGAGATCATCTTAAGGCACCTTTAGCATTCGTAAGTTATGAATCGGTCATAAAATCTGATTCAATAAGTGAAATGCATTTGATATTCTCTTCGAGTTGAGCAGTAATAATCGTGAAAAGAAAATCTTTCATCTCTTAAATCAGCCTTACGAAGACTAAAGAATTTTCTTTAAAATCACTTTTAATAATACATTATACTGAATCCACGACTTTTCTTTACTTTTTTAACGATACGTACATCTCTAAAAAAATCTATGAATAAAACAAGTTTTAAGCTATGGTAAACTCATGTCAGTCTTCTGACCTCTGAACCATACAAATATGTTACACTTATGTATGTGTGGAAAAATACGACAAACATTGGCATCCTTGAATTATTAATGGTGACATAACGATAAGAACATTTGGGATTTTGACTTTGGTGCCTTTACCAATAATAGGACAAAATACATTGCATGGGATTGCGAGTTCAATTGTGTAAATTATGGACAAGAATCTTCAATTGCACGACTTATTCATGCTATTTCTTGGCAGCCCCTGGTAACATATAGGCTCCCTATATGTTCAAGCATTTTTCGATTAGACATTGTTGAATAAGAAAAAAAATTATTATTCTTTTGTCGATTTAGGTGCTGTCTGAGCTGATTCCCCTATTGATTAATGGACCGTTACTATCCCCAAGTAGGCCCCACCTGTGAGAGAGGGTGGTCAAAAAAAATGGCTGAGTGTCTTTTCAACGGTTGAAAAATTGATT